TGGTGTCAGGGCTGGGGACACCAGGATCAGCTGGCACAGCCACCGTGGAGGGCAAAGGAGTGGCACCAGAGTGCCTCAGTGACCCCTGGCACCCTGAGCAAGTCACAGGACTGGGGAGGGATGGGATGTATGATGGCAGTTACCAAACCCCCTATTTTATAGATATTTTTGACTTTTGATGTAGGATTGGGGTTTTTTTTAATAGGTTAGTGGAGAGGCCATGAAATACAAGGATGGGCTGGATCTGGTGAATGGTTGTGAGAATAAAAAAGCTGCTGGGGAGGAACCTCATCCCTGCTCCCTCCAGCCATGGCTGTGCTGGCACAGGGACACAACCAGGGCAGTCACAGCTTGGGGATGGCAACAGAGGTCACTTTTATGGATAAAACATTCCTCTTTCCAGGGGATTGGGTAATTACTGAAACTCACAATTCTAATCCTCAACTCATTTGCTAGAAATGAGTTAGAAAGAGTTACAGGAAAATAAGACTTTTCTCTACACTGACGGCTTTAATTGTACTTATTCTCCCAGGTATCTGTTAATATTTTTGTAAAGAACTTGTAAGGTGTTTGTGTTGTTTGAATTTTATACATTTGTATCTATGAAATAAAACACATGTAAATATCTCTGAAGCCTGTTTGTGTTTTATGCTTTAAAGGTTTGCTCCTCTTCCTCTCATGTGCTGAATTTTGGGTGGGCACAGGTGAGACCCCTGCCTTGGTCCAGGCTGCTATGCCCAAACAAGATCCCAGCTCCATGAATCCTTTAAATCGCAACTGCTTGTTGGGATTCTGCCTTTTTTTAATCCCAAACTAACTGCTGTTTGTGAGTCTGAAAATTCAGGGTGTGAAAACACAAACCCCACCTTGGCCAAAGCAATGACCTTTTCCTTTCATCCATCCCTGAGAAGACTGGATGCTGGACTTGGTTTAGAAATTAAAACCTTTATTATAAAATACAGGCACTAAAAATGCAGCTGCCATCCTGGTGGGAAGGAGAAACTGGTTGTGGGGGCAGGGGGTCACAGAGTGCCCGGGTCCTGCTGGGCCACGTCTGCCAGCCTCATGTGCTGCCACATGAACTCGATGAAGGTGGACGCCTGGAGCAGGCGGCTCAGCCGCTGGAAGTGGCGCTCTGCAAGGAGGGCAGGGCTCAGGGGCACGGGGGAGGCACAGAACCCGGCCCTGCCCCGTGGAGCCAGGCTGGCAGAGCTGGGAATGCCCAGCCTGGAGAAGGGAACGCTCCAGGGAGACCTCCAGGGCCTAAAGGGGCTCCAGGAGAGCTGCAGAGGGACTGGGGACAAGGGATGGAGGGACAGGACACAGGGAATGGCTCCCACTGCCAGAGGGCTGGGCTGGATGGGATATTGGGAATTGGGAATTGTTCCCTGGGAGGGTGGGCAGCCCTGGCACAGGTGCCCAGAGCAGCTGTGGCTGACCCCTGGCAGTGTCCCAGGACAGGTTGGACAGGGTTTGGAGCAGCCTGGGATGGTGAAGGTGTCCCTGCCTTGGCAGGGGTGGATTAACTGACCTGCCCCTTCCACCCCAACCCATTCCCTGATCCCTGCTCCGGGTCAGCACCTCCAGCCCACGCCTGTCCCCACTGGGCCTCACCCGTGTAGGGCAGCAGAGACTCCACAGCAGATTTGATCCCCGAGAACTGCAGGAGGCTGTCGGGTGCCTCGTGCTTCAGGAGGGTCTCCATGATGGCCTGGGCCTCGTGGCAGTTCCGGGAGTTGGTGTTCCACGTCACCAGGAATGCCAGCACGGCCTCTGGGGGGGAAGGAAGCCTGGCCAGGGTGGCACACAGCAGAGCCCACACTGGAGAGCATCCCAGGGCTCCCACAGAGCTCAGCTCCCACACAGCAGCACTCCCCATCCTGGAAGTGCCCAAGGCCAGGTCCTGGCTTAATGGAAGGGTCCCAGCCCGAGGTAGAGGGTAAAACTGAACAATCTCCCAACCCAAACCACTCCAGGACTGCAGGATTCTCATTTCAGGCCAGGTCCTGGTTTAATGGAAAGGTCCCAGCCCATGGCAGAGAGTAAAACTGAACAATCTCCCAACCCAAACCACTCCAGGACTGCAGGATTCTCATTTCAGGCCAGGTCCTGGTTTAATGGAAAGGTCCCAGCCCGAGGTAGAGGGTAAAACTGAACAATCTCCCAACCCAAACCACTCCAGTATTGCCGAATTCTAATTTCAGGCCAGGTCCTGGTTTAATGGAAGGTATCCCAGCCCATGGCAGAGGGTAAAACTGAACAATCTCCCAACCCAAACCACTCCAGGAGAATTGCAGGATTCTCATTTCAGGTGCCAGAAGAAGCCTCTGACCTGAGAGCTTTCAGCACCTCAGTCTGCCACAAACCTTTCTGATCCTTGCGGAGCCGAGCAATGTTCTCCTCCAGGTGCCTCCTCCCCTCGGGCTCCCTGAGGATGGCTGCAGAGAGAAATGACAGCAGGGACACCTGGGTGATGTCACTCGGGGAAAACTGAGGCTTTCACACTGAATATTGGACTTTTAGTCTTGAACTAGCTGGAAGAGGTGTCCAGGAAAGGAGAGAGGGCAGGAAATGCCTCCAGAGCACGCTCTGGACTCACCCTTGACCACGGTGAGCACCGTGTGCGGCCGGTCCAGGGAGATGGCCAGGCCCAGAGCTTTGAGGTACCTTTTCTCGTGGAGAAGGTTAGAAAGCTCTTGCTCTCTGGAAAACAAATCAGGGGTGACAGTCAGACCAATCTTTGGGTGCTGGAAAAAACCAAAAGTACAGAAAAAGCAGCAGATTTGACAGTTAAGAAGTTTGTGGTGCTCATCAATAAATGTCCTCACTCCAATATTGGGATCAGGTGGAGTTGGATGGCTCCAGGTGTGGGCAGTTCCACTGCACAGTTTGCATTTCACAGCTCTTTATGGCACAAGATCAACTCACTTCATAATCTGCTCCTCCTGTTTAGCTTGTGCTTCTTTCTCCTCAATTTCAGTCACATCCTATTAAAAAAAAACCAGGATAAAACTTCTATCAAATCCTGCTTTAATACAGAAGGGTTTTGATTTAGCCATCAAGTGATGTGGAGACCAGTTTCTGCAGCAAAATCTCAAGGTCAAGTAATTTAAATGATAAATTATAATATATATAATTATAATAATGATATATATAATATATCATTATAATACTGATAAATGATAAATCCAGCAATTTCCAACTTCCCTCCAAAGCTCCAGTGCTGGGCCCATCTGCTGCTCTGGGGACATACAGGATGGCCAAAAAAACCCCCCAACCCCCCAGATCAGCCTTGCTGGCCTAATTTCAAACTGCAGACAAAGAGAGCACATGAAAAACAAGGCACTGAGATGCTGAGCTCTCCAATTTCCCCAATTATTACCCCAGGGAGGAGCCAATGCTGTACCTGCCACAGGGTGATGCAGGAGTCACTGGAGGCTGTTACGACCATGTCATCTTTCTTGTTGGAGTGAAGGCCCCAGATTTTATCTTCATGACCATCTAATGTTTTCACACACTCGTTTGTTTTAATTGTCCAGAGCTTCAAGAGACCGTCAGATCCACTTTTGGAAGAGAAACACAACAGAAAGGATCACTGGACAGATCCATTCTTGCTCTGTCCCACCTCAAATATCAGATGGACTTATCCCATCCCAACTCTTTCCAAACAGGAGCAAAACCAAAAATGTGAGGGCAAGATGCACCCTTAGCTTTGTCTACTGAGTTTGTCCCAACTCAGCAATGCCACAGCAGCCACATGGGACACTTGGAGAGGAGGAAAATTAAAATAACCTCTACAGAAAGCCTGGCCTAAGCATGGCATCTTCCTATAAATGTTTCCAAAGATTCTTTGGACACGAGAGTTTTTCCTCTTGGTGCTGCTGATGAGCTCAGATATTCCCTTAACCCTGGAACCTCCCCAGAGCCCTGGGCAGGCACAAACCTGCTGAGCAGCTGAGCCCCTCGGCTCACAAAGATGATCTTCAGCACTGAGGCATCGTGGCCTTCAAAGGTCTGCAAAAACAGAAAGGAAGCTCAGCAGTGCCAGGCCTTTGGAGAGACCCCAAAGGGTCCCATTTACTCGTGAAGCCCAAAGAAATAAGCTCCAAGTTTTGGAGGGATCCTTAAGGAACCCCAAGGTTTCACCCAGGGCAAGAGGCGAAGTTCTCATCACCTTCAGACAGCTGAAGTCCCGAAGCCCCCAGAGCTTCAGGGTCCCATCAGCCGAGGAGGTGGCCAGGACCTGATCCACGGGGGAGAACTGCACGCACCAGATGCCACGCTTGTGCCCAGAGAAAACCCCCAGGAGGGAGCAGTCGGAGCAGGACCAGAGCTTGGCCAGCCGGTCCTGCGAGCCCGTGGCCAGCAGTTTGTCGTTGGGGGACACCGCCACGCTGTTGATGTCCTGGGGAAGCCACAAGAGGAGCAGGAGGAGGGTCAGGCCTCGGCTCTGGGACACGGAACAAGCGGAGGCTGCAGGCAGCAGGGAGGCTGAAGCACTGAGAGCTCAGGTGGAGCTGTACCTTGTCGTGGCCCCTCTCAGTCACCCTGGCGTGGAGGGGCTCTGGACTGGAGATCAAGGCTGCTTTTGCTTTGGAAGTGAGGGATTCCGGGATGTTCCAGATCTTGATGGTGCAGTCCTGGCTGCTGGTCACTACAAAGCTTTCCTTCAGCCTGAGAGGAACGAAAGCATCAAGGGCAGGGAAACGACTCTGTGCTTTCTCCTCCCTGGCTGGGATCTCCACACTCAGCCACTGCTGGGCTGTGGAAATGTGGCTTCGTGGCTTTCCAAGCTCTTTCATTTCAGAGGGACTCCCCCATCCCCGGGAGTACCCAAGGCCAGGCTGGACAGCGGAGGGGTCCCTGCCCGTGGCAGGGGGTGGCACTGGATGACATTTAGGGCTCCTTCCAACCCAAACCATCCCATGATCCCTTCACCCTCGGGCACCAGGACAAGCTGGGAGCAGGGATGAGCAGCAGCAGAGCTGGGAGGGGGACAGCACCCACCAGGACATTCCCTCCCTCCCGCAGCCTGCGTTACCTGGAGCAGGCGACGGCGCCCACGCCGTGGGCATGGCCCAGGCCCTGGGCCACACAGGTGACCCTGCCAGCCTTGCCCATGCGCCACACCCGCATGCTCCTGTCCTGGGGGAGGACAGAAATGCCTCAGTGCTCCGGGGAGGCAGCAGCTTTCACCACAGCCCTGAGCTGGTCTCTGCTGCTCCAGCCTGAGCCTTCACCTCCGTCACGGCTGGTGGCAAGAGCAGCCCCCGCTCTGGGGCTCCAGCAGGGAGGTTTAGTTCTGGTTGGATCAGAGCTTTGCTTCTGGGTCTGTCAGGGCTCTTGGCACCTTTTCCCTCATCAATCTCACAGTAACAACTTTTCTGAACTCTAACACCAGTCCAGGATGTTTGGAGAATGAAACAGCTCCTTCAGGCCAATAAAATACAACCAATTTTCCCAGGGATAATGTTAAAAGGGCATGCAGCAGACAAGGATTGTATGAACAAAAAGCCCTTTCTGGAGTTCCAAGAATAACATAATTTTGCCCACATGTATCACCAG